TCAGCGGTTCGAATCCCCGTGACGGGGTGAGCTCCCTTTGCTTGGTCCTAGCTCCTGCCAACCTAGCAGTTCGAAAGCACACCAAAAAGTGCAAGTAGATAAATAGGTACCGCTCCGGTGGGAAGGTAAACGGTGTTTCCGTGCGCTGCTCTGGTTTCGCCAGAAGCAGATTAGTCATGCTGGCCACATGACCCAGAAAAACTGTCAAACACCGGCTCGCTTGGCCTGTAAAGCAAGATGAGCACCGCAACCCCAGAGTCGTCTGCAACTGGACTTAACTGTCAGGGGTCCTTTACCTTTACCTTTACTAGTCTGCTATGTAGGGCTGGCATAGCCCACACTATCTGAAGCAGAATGCTGCTCACTGCAATATTGATATACAGTGGTACCTCAGGTTAAGTACTTAATTCGTTCCGGAGGTTTATTCTTAACCTGAAACTGTTCTTAACCTGAAGCACCACTTTAGCTAATGAGGCCTCCTGCTGCCGCTGCGCCGCCGGCATGCAATTTCTGTTCTCATCCTGAAGCAAAGTTCTTAACCCGAGGTACTATTTCTGGGTTAGCGGAGTCTGTAACCTGAAGCGTATGTAACCCGAGGTACCACTGTAATAATGGTGGATTGCATGTGCATTCGTATTAGAATAATGTTTACCAAGGTCCGCCTGTCCGATTTTGTCACCTGAGGTGAGAGCAGTAAGAAGAAGAAGAAGAAGAGTTTGGATTTGATATCCCGCCTTTCACTCCCCTTCAGGAGTCTCAAAGCAGCTCACATTCTCCTTTCCCTTCCTCCCCCACAACAAACACTCTGTGAAGTGAGTGGGGCTGAGAGACTTCAGAGAAGTATGATTGGCCCAAGGTCACCCAGCAGCTGCATGTGGAGGAGCGGGGAATCGAACCCGGTTCACCAGATTACGAGACTACCGCGCTTAACCACTACACCACACTGGCTCACCAGCTGTTGCCTTGTCCCTGCCAAAGTCCTGCTTACAGGGTTCTCACAGTGGCAACTTCCAGATTTCGGTGGTGGGTCCCTGCTACCATGGAAGACGTGGCAGCAGCTTCTCACTTCTCTGGTGGGATTGGGAAGCAGGGGCAGATCTACTAGGAAACTAATGACGCTTAGGCTTCAGGGCCCCAATCCCAGAGCGGCCCCAGAAACAAGTTTTGTCCATATTGCTTAAAAGTGTTGGGTCTAGTAGACCCAATCTAAGCCGTGTAACTCAAATTGATTCATTTCTTGTTGCATATATTTCAACAATCCCAAAGCTCCCGTGTGCCAGAAGCGGCTTAGTCATGCTGGCCACATGACCCGGAAGCTGTACGCCGGCTCCCTCGGCCAGTAAAGCGAGATAATAATAATAATAATAATTTTTTATTTATACCCCGCCCTCCCCAGCCAAGGCCGGGCTCAGAGCGGCTTACAAGCAATAATAAGAACAAGATGAATGATTACAACTTAAAAACAAAAATAAAATACAACATTAAAATATTGGAACATTAAAAGATTAAAATGTAGCCTCATCACAGGAGGATGAGCGTTGCAACCCCAGAGTCGGCCACGACAGGACCTAATGGTCAGGGGTCCCTTTACCTTTTATTGCTTACAGTGGTGGAAATAGGCTAAATGAGCAGTGACTTTGGAGTAGCCAGACTGACTTTCCATCATATCCTCTCATGCTTTATATTCTCTGCTGCCTGACCTATCTCTGTCCTGCTGGGCAACAGAGCTGCGGGCAACAATAAAACAAAGGATGGTGATGAACAGGCAACATGGCAAAGCAATTAGAGCTTTCCGCTTCTCCATACAATTAAAAAAATAAAATTGCAATTATAGGTCTAAGCCGAACGGTGTGCATGCCAGATTGGATCCTGAGGACTTAAGCCTGTGGTTAAGATGGAAGAGCAACTTTTGTACCCTATGGCTTCGGCTCATTTTCTTGTTTAGGTTTTGAGGTTTGTAGAGTTTGTTAAGCCTTCCCCTCAGGACTAGACTTCAAAGATACTGAGGAAGAAAGGAGAGGAAGAAAGCCACGAGACAGAAGGAAGATGAATGGAAAGGGCTGTAAGAATTATTATTTTTTACAAAGGAAGGAGGGGAGCTAATAGTACAGCACTGCGAGGATTGCACTGAATTGCTGAAACTCTCTCATAAGTAAGCTCTCTGATAAAGCCGAATGATTCAATTGAAGTGTGTTAAGGATGTGCGCCATTTTTACTTGACAGTCCTAAAAACAATAAGATAAGGACAGCCTGCTAGATCCAGCGTTCTTCTCTCATGGTGGCTGAACAGCTGCTTGGGCGAAACCAGCAATCAGGATTCGAACGCAAGACCCCTCTCCCCTCTTGTGGTTTCCAGCAACTGGCATTTAGAAGCATAGGTAAAGGTAAAGGGACCCCTGACCATCAGGTCCAGTCGTGTCCGACTCTGGGGTTGCGGCGCTCATCTCGCTTTATTGGCCAAGGGAGCCGGCATACAGCTTCCGGGTCATGTGGCCAGCATGACTAAGCCGCTTCTGGCAAACCAGAGCAGCGCACGGAAACGCTGTTTACCTTCCCGCCGGAGTGGTACCTATTTATCTACTTGCACTTTGACGTGCTTTTGGCAGGAGCAGGGACCGAGCAACGGGAGCTCACCCCGTCGCGGGGATTCGAACTGCCGACCTTCTGATCGGCAAGCCCTAGGCTCTGTGGTTTAATCCACAGCGCCACCCGCGTCCCATTTAGAAGCATAGCTGATTCCAACTGTGGATACAGAAAATAGCCATCCTGGCTAGTAGCTATTGACAGCCCTCTCTTCCTCAGGAAATCTGTCTAATCCTCTTTTAAGGCCACCCAACATGGTGGCCATCGCTGCCTCCATTGTTTAATTGTGCATTGTGTGAAGAAGCGCTTTCTTTTACCCGCCTTGAATCTTCCAACATTCACAAACCAAGTGGGGAAATGCAATTCCTGCAAAGCAGTGGCTTTCAAAACTGCAAAGGTGCAGCCCTCCCTCACGACTTAATTCAACCATGGGGAGGTGTTCGCTTCCCTTCTGTTTAACTCCCAGTCCTGGCCAGCTGTGGCCTTGCACTGCTTTCTGTTGCCAATGCACCAAAGCCGTAGCATATAAGCAGCCCGTGGCCGGTCATTGGGTGGCAGGGTAGCAGGACAGTTGGATATTTCTATCGTCCCAAACCTTCATGCAAAGTTTTTTTTGGGGGGGGTGTCTCTTACCTAAGCTTCCCCACTCCCATTTTGGCTTTCCAGCACACCTGGATTTATGGATGCACTACATAACTAGAAAAGGGAACGATAATAATAATAATTTATTTATAGCCCACCCATCTGGCTGGGCTTCCCCAGCCACTCTGGCCGGCTTCCAACAAAACACTAAAATACAATAACCTATTAAACATTAAAAGCTTCCCTAAACAGGGCTGCCTTCAGATGTCTTCTAAAAGTTTGGTAGTTATTTTTCTCTTTGACATCTGGTGGGAGGGTGTTCCACAGGGCGGGTGCCACTACCGAGAAGGCCCTCTGCCTGGTTCCCCGTAACTTGGCTTCTCGCAACGAGGGAACCGCCAGGCGGACCTCGGCGCTGGACCTCAGTGTCCGGGCTGAACGATGGAGGGCAGAACGATAACCAAACAATAGAAGACTAGCCAATCAACATAAGGCAATGTAAGCTACCAGACAGTCTGAGCATGAGAGTCACATGAGGTTTATTAAATGCATTAATTTAATAAATTACAATCCAACAGGTGCACAACCATAATGTAAGTGCCATAAGAAATGCCTCTGGATGAACAAGTAGAACAGCATTTTTCCTAGGGGCAAACTATTGTTCTTGGAATTCTGGGAACCAGTTTTATCTGTGCAACAGACAGTCCTTCCTCGAGGAAAAATCTCTGGATCCTACATCCCGAACCCTAAGAACACAAGGGCTGCCTGACTCGATCCGGGCGTCCATCTACTTCAACATTTCCACTCCAGCAATAGTCCTTCAGACTATTTAAAATGTTTAAGGCCCTCTTTTCCACACACTTTCATGACCTCACGAGGAAACGTTGCAATATAATAATTCAAAACACACAGAGAAAATCACTGCAATAATAGTTTCAATAGAACATCATCTCAGCAGCAGCAATCGAGAAAGCAGTTTTAAGGCTATCCAACAGCCCAGATGCCTTTCGAAGCTCACAAGCAAAGACTCCTTGTTCTTTTGATAGCCGCTTTGCTGAAGGACCGTATGCCAATATTATGAAAGAAAAAAACAAATAAAATAAATGCCAAGGATATAAAACTACCAAATAAATCCTGTGCTTTCCCCGCTCCCAAAGACTTGATGCTCAACATATATAGACAGCCTGGACACAGAGACTTTGCAGAACTGAGTTGTCACAAGCAAGTGTTCATTTATCAGGGGAAAGGTAGCCAAGTCCTAAACGGAGGGGGAATTTGTACAGAAAGATAAAGGAATCATTATATCCAGTAGTAAAATGCAGTACAGTGAGAGCATCGACGTGTTCACACAAGAAATCCCAGTGAATTTGGGCTTGAACCCCAGTGTCTGTGCCCTAAACCGCAGCCTCGTTTTCTCCTTTTCTTAACTGCTCCTCTCCCCTGAAATGCAGACAGCAGCCTCCGCAGCAGAGAGAGAGAGAGATGAGGCAATGCATTCTCACATGTCTGTCACACTTCCATATCCCTTGTAAATGCAGGGATGGTCAGTCTCCTGAATGAGTGCCAGCCAGGGGCAAGGTCTCTTCTTGCTTGTCCCTCAGTCGTTTTCGCTGCCTTAATGCTTTCTTCCAGTAACAAGAAAGAAAGAAAGCACCTACTAGCAAAGTCTACTTTTCATACAAATTATACAACCAGAGAGGCACAGCCAGTTTGAGGGGTGGTGGTGTGGAAACAGCCTCCCAAACTCTGGCAGGGAATCCAAACTGTTGCAATGTCAACCTCTGCCTCCTTGTCGAAAACCATCCACAGTTTTTAAAAAGTAAAAGCGTTCTTACCTGCAGGTACTGGTTGTAGCTGAGGAGCCCTCGCCTCCACTGGGCGACATTCACAGCAGGTTGTGTGGCATGATCACTCTGCACATTTGATGCTTTATGGGCTGGATTAGGATTAAAAAAACGAAGCCACCAACACGATAGATAAAACAAGTTGGACAAGTCACGGTGACAAGCGATTCACCTCGTTGTAAGATTTCAAGGCAGGACTCATAACCATAACAGTGCCTTATGCTTAATAATAATGCCTTTCTTTCAAGAATCTTGGTTACTTTGACAAGCAATAACTCATTGCACCTTGCAACACAACCGCAGAGAGGTTGGTAAACACAAATTTGGGGAGCCGTGGAAAGCTTTACAGGGAGCGGAGAGGGGGGGAAAACTCCCTTCTGTTGGCCAAGCAAGATCAAATAAAGAAGACATTTGGCAGAACAGAATGAAACAAAGAATTTACAAAGAGTTCCCAGGAAGCTGGCATTAGAAAAATGATAAATGTCTATTTAGTGTGGTCACCTGTAAATCAAAGGAACCAGACAGATTTATAACCGCTGGGAATCTGGACCATTGATTCCCATGGAATTCGACTTTACCTCCATGTCAAAACCAGGTTAAGCTGGTTTGGGTCCTGCTGTAATTCCCAAAATGGGGGCCCAGCCCTCACCCCCAGGAATGCATTAAACAAGGTCCCATAAAATATGTCTTGTGGTATCTTAAATGCTATGAGGTTTAGAACGATATAAACTTTCAGGAACTACAAAAATATGCCGAGTCCATCAGGTTTCAGAACTTTCAGCCAAACACAAACAAAAAACGTTTTGCCAAACTGGAAATCAGAGTGACGTGCTTTCGTTTTTAAAACAACCCCCCCATTCCCCCCCTACTTTGCTTTCGCAAGTAAAATAGTAAGGAAAAGCATAAGGCCACTATTTTTCCTAATTGCCGAGTAAACGAATAAATCCTGCTCCCACTTTCCAAAGCTCTGCCCCAAAGATAAAACCAGGGTTTTTTTTCCCCAGCCAGAACTCAGTTCCAGCACCTCTTAGGTGAGCCATTATAAGAGAACAAAGGAGGCGTTCATGGTGAGTTCCGGCTCCTCTTTTTCTATAAAAATAGCATTGGATAAATCCTCTGGTAAATACAAATCCAAGGAGGAGTAAAAAGTTTTGCAGCTGGGTGGGACACTTCCTTCTGCTGGCTAAAACCAGAATTCTTTAAATCCCTTTTAAATATATATATATATATTACTAATAAATGTTGTTAACATTATCCTTTGATTCTGCAAACCTGTGCCCGCTTGCCTGGAAGGAAACCTCAGTGTACACAAAGAAACTTACCATATTTTTCCGTCTATAAGACGGCCCCATGTATAAGACACCCTCTATTTTGGAGGACTCAGATTTAAGAAAATGGGAGATACACTATCCGTGTATAAGACACCCCCTAATTTTTGACATTATTTATTAGGGAAAAAACCTAGTCTTATACAGTGGTGCCCTGCAAGACGAATGCCTCACAAGACGAAAAACTCGCTAGATGAAAGGGTTTTCCGTTTTTTGAGTCGTTCCGCAAGACGAATTTCCCTATGGGCTTGCTTCGCAAGACGAAACGTCTTGCAAGTTCTTGCGAGTTTGTTTCCTTTTTCTTAAAGCCGCTAAGCCGTTAATAGCCGCTAAGCCGTTAATAGCCGCTAAGCCACTAATAGCCGCTAAGCCGCTAATAGCCGTGCTTCGCAAGACGAAAAAACCGCAAGACGAAGAGACTCGCGGAACGGATTAATTTTGTCTTGCGAGGCACCACTGTACACGGAAAAATACAGTACAGTGGTACCTCGCAAGACGAATGCCTCGCAAGACAAAAAACTCGCTAGATGAAAGGGTTTTTTGTTTTTTGAGCTGCTTCGCAAGACGATTTTCCCTATGGGCTTGCTTAGCAAGACGGAAACGTCTTGCAAGTTTGTTTCCTTTTTCTTAACACCGTTAATACAGTTGCGACTTGACTTCGAGAAGCAACTCATAGAACGAAGTGTGGTAGCCTTTTTTGAGGTTTTTAAAGACTTTGGTGATTTTTGAAGCTTTTCCAAAACTTTCCTGACACCGTGCTTCGCAAGACGAAAAAAATCGCAAGACGACAAAACTCGTGGAACGAATTAATTTCGTCTTGCGAGGCACCACTGTACTTTCCAGAAAGACATATATACATACCACTGCACAACTAGACTTCAGTGCCTTTTGCAGCAGTATGCACGCCTAATCCTCTCTGCAAGTTTTCATGTTTTGCCTTTGTGATTGGGTGGCGGTGCTCTTTAATTGGATGCCAGTGTGCTTGCCTCGGTAATAGACTGGATTGGAGCCAACAAACTGAAGCTCAATCCAGGTGAGACTGAGGCACTGTGAGTGGGTGGTTCCCTAGACTGGAGGAATGGGGGTGGCCTGCTCTTGATGGGGTTACACTTCCTCTGAAGGAGCCGATATGCAGCTTTTGGATCCATTGGTGCCACTTGAGGGCCAGGTGGCCTCAGAGTGCCTTCCATCAGCTTCGGCTGGTGGCCCAGCTGCGCCCTTATCCAGACAGGTATAGCCTAACTTCTGTGGCCTACGCTCTGATAACATCTAGATTAATCAGGTCCTCCGTTAAAGAGGGGACGTGTTCGCGGTGAGACCTGGCAACCTGACCCTGTGTTGTGGGTGGGTACGTTTGGATAGCCCACAACACCCGATTGGTAGGTCCCTTGATGCAGGGTTCAATCAGGCCAATGGGGCGCAGCCTTAATGGATCAAGAGACCTATTTATACCCACGCACGTGACCCAGAGCTTCCTCTTTTGGCTCGTGCATCGGAACACCCGCCCACCTCTCCCTGTATTTAGGGTATTTTGCGATTGACCTTGCTATGCCGTTGTGTTTCGTGTGTCGTTGGGACAGGGGCACAGCAGGAATTTCCCCCACTTGGCTGATTGGCTGTTGCCATTTGGGTTTCGCCTGCCGGGTAGCAAATTGACACAAGTTGTAAGGTTGTGGATAGGCTCTGGTTCAAGTGATAGGGATGGGAGAACGCTCTTGCCATCCCTATGTGAAGGGTATTCCATTAAAGGAATCCAGGGACTCAATGGTTTGGTCAACCCCTGAGAGAGGGTTGTGCCCGTGCCTGAGTCCAGTCAGATATTTGGGTGGTGGAGTTAGCCAGTTCCCGGCTTTCTGCTTATCCAGGTGTTCACCCTTGGCTGACCTATGCTGGTGCCCTGGGTCAGCGCTACCTGCAACAGGTGCAGGGAGTTAGCTGAACCAGAGCCTATGCAACCACTCACTTGCTGTAATCAATAAAGTTGTGGCCTAAATTCTGCTAAAAACCAAACCAAAAATTGAGCCTTGCCTGAATTTATTTCAGGGGGCGGGTTTAAAGGTCTCAACACGCAACCGCAACACGTTATATGTGTGTCTGAATACAGTTTGGAGACTTCAGCTGGTGAAGAATCCAGAGGCCAGGTTGCTCACCGGGGCAAGACGGTTTGAGCATATTACACGGATCCTGGCCTGACTTCACTGGCTGCCAGTTAGTTTCTGGGCCCAATTCAGAGCGCTGGTTTTGACCTTAAAAGCTTTAAATGGCTCAGGACTGCAAGACCTCAAGGACCACCTCTCCCCATATGAACAGACCTGGAACCTGGAACCCGTGGTCATCATCTGAGTTTCTTCTTTGTGTGCCCCATTCATGAGAGGTCTGGAGGGCCTTTTCTGTGTTGGCTCCCCGCTTGTGGAATGTTCTCCCATGAGATGCTCACCTGGCGACTTCATTACTTAACTTTAGGCACCAGGTGAAAACATTTCTCAATAACCAGGCCTTTGGCGGATTAAGATTCTATGGTCTTTTTAATGGGTTTGTGTGTGGAGTGGGGGGAGGGGGTTACTGGTTTGTTTTTATTTTATTATGTCTTTTGTGTTCTCGTTTTGTATTTTTACGTTGTGAACCACCCTGTGATCTTCAGATGAAGGGTGGTAAACAAATTTAATAAACAACAACAACATCTACTCATTGTGTACAGTGGTACCTCGGGTTAAGTACTTAATTCGTTCTGGAGGTCCGTTCTTAACCTGAAACTGTTCTTAACCTGAAGCACCACTTTAGCTAATGGGGTCTCCCGCTGCCACCATGCAATTTCTGTTCTCATCCTGAAGCAAAGTTCTTAACCTGAAGCACTATTTCTAGGTTAGCGGAGTCTGTAACCTGAAGCGTATGTAACCCGAGGTACCACTGTAGTGGTATTTGCAGAAAATAATATCTAGGACCTGATTTCTCATGAAGCCATCATAAGAAAGATGAAACCTGATTACTGGAGAGGGAGGGAGGGTGATCACACTACAGCAATCCAATGACTAGAAAATAAGAAGTAGGAAAGAAAAATGCACTAAAGTGGGGGGGGGGGTGGAACGGGACTTCAGCCATTTCTATAGCATGGTGTCCAAACAAATCATTCATTGATCACAGCTGTGACTTCACTCAATGGCTAAAAATATTGAAGGGCAGGAGCAGTCAGGCTGTCTCAACTTATAGAAGTTGCTTCGTTACCCGCACATTTTGCTTTATAACTTTATTTCCAGGAGGGCTAGAAAAGTACTTTGAAAAGAAAAGAGAAAAAGCTCAGAATCTTGCAGACATTGTCCCTGGTGCAATTGCTATAATTGCGCCATTATAATCCGGTCATCAGCATCTTAAAAAGCAGAGACATCACCTTACCAACAAAGGTCCATATAGTTAAAGCCATGGTTTCCCCAGTAGTGATGTATGGAAGTGAGAGCTGGACCATAAAGAAGGCTGATCGCCGAAGAATTGATGTTTTGAATTATGGTGCTGGAGGAGACTCTTGAGAGTCCCATGGACTGCAAGAAGATCTAACCTATCCATTCTGAAGGAAATCAGCCCTGAGGGCTCACTGGAAGGACAGATCCTGAAGCTGAGGCTCCAATACTTTGGCCACCTCATGAGAAGAGGCCCTGATGTTGGGAAAGATTGAGGGCACAAGAGGAAGGGGGCGACAGTGGATGAGATGGTTGGACAGTGTTCTCGAAGCTACAAACATGAGTCTGACCAAACTGTGGGAGGCAGTGGAAGACAGGAGTGCCTAGCATGCTCTGGTCCATGGGGTCACGAAGAGTTGGACACGACTAAACGACTAAACAACAACAATCCGGTCATGTGTCTAAATCTGTGGGATTGCATTTACAGTGGTACCTCAGGTTAAGTACTTAATTCGTTCCGGAGCTCCGTTCTTAACCTGAAACTGTTCTTAACCTGAAGCACTACTTTAGCTAATAGGGGCCTCCTGCTGCTGCCGTGGCGCCGGAGCCCGATTTCTGTTCCTTATCCTGAAG